TTGTTAAGCTCCTTTTTTGATAACATGTTGTCTAAGATACACATAAAATAGCTTCTTATTGTATATAATAAAAGTGCTGCATTGTTTGTTTGTTTTTTGTTTTACAGCAGTAAATACTGCAATACAGAGTAGAACAATTATCTGCATTAGAAACAACGAGCAAAGAATAAATAATAATTTTAAAGAAAAAATCCACAATTAAGGCACCAGGATTACAACTTTATATAGGCTATATAGGACTATATAGGACTTTGGATTGTTTGTTTTGCATCAGCTTTTCCTCAGAGCTCTGACTTAATAATTATCATCATGAAGCTCTGAGTAACTGGAGATATGTCCACCTGAAACAAGTATAGGCCTACAGGTCTTTATTTTCCAGATTATTCCCACAAGCGCATCTCCTGCTTTCTTTCATGGCATGATTAATTTTATTAAAACATAGAATTAACTCTGGAAAGATAGTTGTGATATGACGTGACATAAGGGCAGCCCTGCTAGTAGTTAGGCCTACACCGTGGCCCTTAATCATCAAGATGATTTTTGCTTTAATACCGGCCATGCACACTCACGAACTGACTGAACGCTGTGTTGATGTGTGTGTGTATGCGACCAGTCGCGTGTGATGATCGTTCGTTTGGCGCGCGCACCCTCGCGCAGCGGCACTGCAGGAGAGCGTGAGACACGCCGGTGGTCTGGATTCTCCTGCTATTAAAAAAAGATCGGTATATCATCACATTAAGTTGATAATTAAGGGCAGACTAAAACAGCCCAGTTCGGCGCACAGTCCGCGAGTTTAATCTCCGCGTGTCTTCTTGTTTGCAGTGTTGTCGTTCAAGAGGATTCACGAATGGACCAATGAGCAAACACTAAACTATGTGCAGGTGGTACTCATGGGAGTGGTAGTGGCATAGTGTCAAATTGCAATTCGTTTGTTATGTCAGATGTCCTTTGACAAGACTACAAATCTTCAACACGCCAAAGTGGCTAGTGAGAGTGACTGTGTTACCCGCCACGGGTGAAATGCACCCGCATTTGGCGGGTTGGCGGGTGTTAATGTCAAGCCCTGTATATATATTTGAATGTACATAAATACATTCTTCTTCTTTTTAAACATATGAACGTATTAATAAAATTGTAAATTCATTTTAGATAAATATATATATATAAAATTAACCATAAAAATCCGTCTCACAAGACCGAAGCAAGACACACACACAACTTGACGCAAGTGACGCAACCCATAGCACCGCGTAAGCAACAACACCGACCGCGCGAACGCGCGTCACACAGCAACAGCAGGCTCTGACAAACACACAAACTATACTATACTTCTGCATAACGTGTCTCTTTTTACAACAAAAATGTGAATTCTGCCGGTATTCAGACAGTCCCATGCATACAGATACAGATCCGGCCTACAATCGCCTACGTAGGCGAAATTTGTTTGACATTTCTAATCGTAAACACAGCCATGTTGAAGCCTGCAGTAATGTTTTTCATTGATGTTATGGCAGTCCACTCTGCTTATTGTTTTTCGAGAATCTTGCACTCCTGTTTGTCATTGTGCACGAAACTTCATGCCAATAAATCATCAGAAATATTGCTGACTTGTGCGCGTCTCAAGCGCACTCTTTACGCTCGTGCTAATGCCTGTTAGTTGTCCGTGGATTTGCCTATATTTGGCGCTGAAAATGGAAACGTCTTTAGACATGGAAAAACGATTTTACAATCGATTCAATGAACGTTTATGTCTCAAAAATCGATCAGGATTTTTTCACAAAAGTGATAGCCCTGTAAAGTTGTTATTATTATTGTTATTGTTATTGTTATTGTTATTTACAGTTCGTATTATGCTCTGTTCATTACTGTTCTGTCTAAATAAACAGGACATTTGCATTTACATTTGGGTTATGCAGTGTTTTTAATTTATATTTTACACTGGGGTGCCTTGAGATTTTATGCACTTTTGAAAGGTGCCCCGACTGAAAAAAGTTTGAGAAAGGCTGTTCTAAATAATATAATATTGATGAGACATGCTCATTTTGTGGTCTTATGGATGAAACAGCTGCCCATTTATTTTGTGATCGCAGCATGACCAATACATTTTGGGTTGATTTAAGTTATTTTATTTTTAGTCCTACACATGTGATCCACAGTTTCGTCTTCAAAGATGTTTTTTTTAATAAGAGAATCCAAAACTTGTATCTCTTGAATATGAGTTTTTTTATTTATTTTTTTATGCAAAATTTACCAGCAAAAAAGGGTTTTTGTCATAAACTAGAGCCGCGTTTCCACCGCAGGAACTTTACCCAGGAACTAGGAACTTTGGCCTGGTACTCGGTGTGTTTACACCGCAGGAACCAGGGTCTAAATGAAGTTCCGGGTAGATATTTCCCCCTCCGAAAGTCCCTGCTCGCGAGGTAGTACTTTTTCAAAGTTCAGGAACTTTCGCGGGTGGGGCTTGTGCGCTGAACATGCTGATTGGTTGTGTTCACGCCGCATTATGATTGGATAACTCCGCGCAGCATTTTATTTTAACCGTAATTTTTAGAATCTATTGCAGTTCGTGGCTTCATGCAGTAATGAAGTTCCATGCAGTAAGAGTTGTCTGTCTGCAAATATGGAATTTAATAAAAATAAAAAAGGCAGCTGGACCGACGACGAGATTCAGGCTTTATTAAGCGTATTTGCGGAAGAGAAATTTTCTGCGCGTTCGTCCCAGCCTTCTCACGGTCAATGTCCGCAATAGCTGATAACATACGCTGTCTAATTTTAGATCTAACGTTAGCATTACGAGCTTTCTGAACACGCTTTAGTATCAGTGCTCGTCTCTTTTCTGCCGTTTTGTTAATTACCTGGTTAGTAAACCAATACATCTCAAACAACTGCAGCACAGTGTGAATCTCTTCCATATTTATTATAAATGTGGCGCTCAAAACTGATTACTGTCTTTTACAGTCTACTGTCCGTCACAAGCAAGCAATGAGCAGTCGCGCGCAGTTTACCCGGTACTTTAGACCGCGATGTAAACGCAGAAAGCTACCGGTCTGGGGCAAAAAAAGTTCCTGGGAAAAAAGTTCCTGGGACAAATTGTTCCGGGCAATTGCGGTGGAAACGCGGCTTAGGTCAGCCGGAACCGGGAAAAGTTCCTATAACACCTGATGTACTCGTTACCTCAAAGGCATCTATGCCAATGTTAGTCTCTCTGTTTATTCAGAGGTTTGGATCTGAGTCATATCCAGATCAGATGGTGGACCTGCGCCTAGACACTACCACAATGCATGATGTTGTCAGCCGTATCCGGGCCGTATTCAGATCAGATGGAAGACCTGCGCCTAGATATGACCACAACGCATGATGTAGTCAGCTGGATCCGGGCCGTATCCAGATCAGATGGTGGACTTGCGCCTAGACACTACCACAACGCATAATGTAGTCAGCCTTATCCGGGCCGTATCCAGATCAGATGGAAGACCTGCGCCTAGACACGACCACAACGCATCCCTGAAGTGACAGCCGAAATTGTGTCAACTAGACTCTCCCCTCTGAAGGCCTCATCGACACGACAGCCATCGGCACTGATCTAAACAAAGCCGTCTCCATACCGTCGTGATGACTCCGATCTTCAACCAGATGGAATTACAAATATTCTGAATGTTATATTGCGAAACAATACATATTGCGATATATTGCAATACTTTTTTTTTTTTTTTATGTAAAAAATAATAGAGCTGAAAATACAATTTGCTGTGTACCAGCTGAGGTATTTTGTTATGTGTATCACATTATATTGATAACTCAGCAGAAAAATAAAAACTTCCATTCCAATTTATTAGCAAAGCTATTTGCATTGCAGTGTCACTGAACAGTGACACGCTGAAATGTATGAAGTGCATATTGTGTCACTGAACACTTTTAAATAAAAATGAAGATGCCACAAAATGTATAAAACAGAAATTTCTTCTGTTGAAAATAAAAAGTTATTGTGACGATTGACGAATGTGGGTAACCAAACAGTTGCTAGTCCCCTATGACTTCCATAGTATATATTTTCCTACTATGGAAGTCAATGGGGAACAGTAACTGTCTGCTTAGCCACATTCTTCAAAATATCTTCTTATGTGTTCCACACAGGAAATAAATTAATACAGGTTTGGAACAACATTAGAGAGTAAATAAGAACAGAATTTTCGATTTTGGGTGAACTATCCCTTTAAGGACAAGCTGCAGCATGTTTACTAGGCTACTGTCACTTTAAGACCAGCACGCATCTGACACGCACCATATTTTCTCTCAAATATTTGCTTTCACTTTAGACATTACCAACTAATATTATTTAAACCACATTTCAAAACTACGGTTGGCCTATAGCGATGAACCACTAAAGATAACACAAAGAAAGGCAAACTGGACTAACTACTTTTAAAACTAAGAAAACAATTTTGTGATAGGCCTACAGGTAACCTACCTTTTTAAAAGTTTGATGTCATTGTAATATTCCAATATATTTGCAACGCGGATTGACAACAACTGGCTTTGGATTGTTTGTGAATTTCTCTTTTGGATTGTTTGTGATGTCATCAGGAGTAATTCGTTTAGGAGCTTCTTTTAGCACAAAATGCTTTGTGAATGACTCTAGGATGAAAAGCTTACCAACCTTTGTTATTCTCTAAAAATATCACCAAATGCATTGACATAGGGAAAAAGAGAGAGAACTCCCTTTATGATGTTTAGGGTTATGGTTTTTGCTTATGTTTTGCTTATATCCAGCAGTACCATCTAGTGGTCAACAAACAAGCAATAAGTACAGTTAAACATCCTTAGGCTTTGTTCTTTCTTGCAGCATTGCCCAGGACATACTTCCCATAGAGAACACACAACTATTGGTTGTGTGTCACTGACACACAACCAATAGGATGATGTAAGTAAAAAAAAATGCTTAAAGAGAAGGTGGTGCTGTTTCTCATGCATGAAAAGCTGCTCACATTCTATTTGAGCGGCACATTCTGCTACATCCTTTTACAGACTTACTGAAATGGAAGGATTCTTAAGAATTATAGTCATCGGTGTCTGTGTCGTTTACATTAACGCCCAAAGTAAGTATAAAACCATTCAATTGCTGCTTTATTAAAAGTAGACTTTTGTTCCTCATTAAATCTTGTAACATGTCAAAAGAAGTAGAACCAAATGCTCTTTGTTTTGTACCACCTGTTTAGTATCTTAATAACTTGGTAAAATCAGGTGCTAAATAAAAAAAAAGTTTTTGTTGTTGTTGTTGTTACTTTATTGTTATATGCAGCAAGTAGCCTATGTGAGTATGAGTGATTAAGGCTTGATATTTTTATAGTGTACAGAATTTTCAGTAGGCTATATACAGTATATTGTATTGTAGTGATAACTGTATATTTTTTTATACATGTTTTTATATACTTTAAATAGTTGATAAATACTTTTCCAAAAAAGTATATATACACCTCCTGTTATAGTTGCAAAAGTATATCCATTTAAAAGTATTGTAAGTGATCTCAATATAATTATATCTCTGTCTATACTGTATAAAATAAATAAACAGAAAATGTACTGGTAATTTTCTGCCAGGACATTATCCAGTAATTTTACGGAAATTTCCGTTAACCCTTAAACCATAGTCTAATGCAATGTGTAATTCGAAATGGAAAATTCCTTCATACTGACTTTTTTTTTTTTACAGTGTACATGTATAAATATGATTATATTCCCAATAATAATAATCTGATTTAATATTTTAGGTTATCATGAATTTGGGCTGATTGAAGCATGTGGTGATTTAAATCAAGAAGATTTCATTGTCAAATTTGATGATGAACAGGTGGGACATGTAGACTTCAAAGAGCAAAAAGAAATCCTCACATTACCTGACTTTGCTGGCCAAATTGAGCTACCGCCACTGTATGCGGACGGAAAAAAAGGCGTATCTGTTTGCAAAAATGTTGCAGGTGTGCTTAAAGAGGTGTATGCCAATTCATCTGTACCACTTGGTAAGACATAAAACAGGTATAAACAACAACAAAAATGTTTTATTAAAATGTTTGAAATTTCATATTAGAATTGGTGGTGTCTGTCTCATCAGAATCCCCCTGGAGCTCAATTTATCCCAAAAGTGAGGCACAGTTGAATGTCAAAAATGCCCTGATCTGTCATGTGACTGGATTCTTCCCTCCACCTGTCAAAGTTTCATGGACCAAGAACAATGTGAATGTGACAGATGGATCAACCATCAGCAGATATTACTCCAACAAAGATGGGACACTTAATGTATTTTCTCGACTGAGCTTCATTCCAGAGGAAGGAGACATTTACAGCTGTTCTGTGGAGCACAAAGCCCTTCAACAACCTCAAACCAGAACATGGGGTAGATATTTATTTATTATTCACATCTAATTCCTTTTAGAATTACATGATGAATGTCACAAACGTTTGTGTCTGTGCAGATGTAGAGATAACGGAGCCCAGCATCGGCCCATCAGTGTTCTGTGGAGTTGGTCTGGCTCTTGGGCTGCTGGGTTTGGTCACTGGAGTCTTTTTCATTGCCAAAGGAAACAACTGCAATTAATGCTGATACAATAACACTGACACCTGTATTATTTTGTTTTGGTTCTCATGTGAAGTTACATGTGTACTGAAGGAAAATTAAAATTGTGTTTTAATGTTAATTAACTCTAAATGCCCTTTGCACTGATTTTGCAAGAGACATGCTTTGATTTGATGTTTTCAGGGCTCTATGTTGTATATTCACAGCAGAAGATGTGTTATACAACAGCTAAAACAGTCTTCATAAGACTTGATATAATATTCTACTGTTGCATTTAGTGTGGTGGCTTTTAAATTCTATAGTAGATGCATCATGGGTCGTGAGAAACTCATTCATTCCTTCAAAAAGAATAACACTACCTACGTAGGTTAAAATTTTAATATGTATTGTATTATGGAAAAGGACTCTTGACAGATATGTCAGATCATATGTTTTTTAAATCCAACAATTGATTTGTTTTTCTCAAATAAAAGTGGAAATTAATTAAAAATTTAAAAACAATTCCCCATTGTTGATCTTACGTGTTCTTCAGGTTGGGTGCCTTGTGACTTATAATATATTTATATATATATATACATTTACATACACATAAACATACACACATAGCCTACTGTATTCATATACTCAGAGTCAGCAAAGTAAAATTTGAGAAAAGTTGAGATAAAGTTTTCTGAAGGTTCCAAAACAAAATCACCTATACTTTAAAATCCCTGGTAATACACCAAATTTGGCAAACACCAAGCCAAAACCAAATATCTATAAGAAAAAAAATTGTATTCAAATTTTTTTCATGATATCTAGCTACCACAATTGTTTGATTAACATAATGAGGCATACATCCTAGACCCTATTTACTGTAGGCCTACCGCACGGATCTAATATAATGTTACACATCAGATGTTTTCCCTAACAGTTTTGAGTGAACGTATGTTCAGTGAACATACGTTCACTTAAAATGCCATATAATTTTTGCGTGAATACTAGCCAAGACAGATATTTTGAAATACTGTAATTCTGTGAATCGGGATCGCGCACACTTCGGATCTGTCAGTGACTCAGTGTAAGTAATATTGTTTTGTTTACATCAGAAAATCACATTTCATTGGTTCAGACTCATGCCATCGAGAATTTGCTATGAATATTCACGAAGTTGGAATTGCTTTACAACGATGCCAAACTTGTGCTGAGGGGAAGCGCCAGGCGTCGAGAAGCGAGTAGAGAAAAACGGCATTTTTCATGGACAAAGAAAGGCTACTCGTCTCAGAAAAACATACAAATAAAGATATACTTTTAGATGTTTAATTGCTATTTGAATCTTTGGATTAGGGCTTAATGAACTAATTTTAGTGAAAACCTCGAATTCGACCAAAATTGATATTTTTCATTTGGTTTGCCTGTAGCTCGGAATTAGCCAACGTAAGCCCATGCAACATTCCGACTCATTTTCAGTCCGGTCAGTTGGACTCCGCCTGTGCCTGTCCCCAGGTGCAGGTTTGTCTTCGGGGTTTGCTCCCCTAGCCACTGTACCCTCCCGAGTTAACCCACGTGGCTTAGGGTTGCCTTCTTCCGCCTTCCCAGCCGGTGTGGTGGTGCTCACATCACCATCTTCCGCCTGCGCCGCCGTTGAGGTCTTCACTGTTTACCCATAGCTGGGGCTATTTACCCATAGCTGGGACAGAGGTTGACGGGCATCAGGGCGTTTCCACTCACCAATGGGCCTGCATGCCGCGTCTCTGGGGCCCACTGCTGCTCCGAGATCCCGTACAACTTAGCCTGGAACCACAAGGGACCAGTTACCATGTGTGCCGCGGGGAGGCGTGTACGAGATCTTGGCAATGGAGAGGCTATGTACCGGCTGAGGAGGCTTACACACTCGGCTCCTCTTTTTCGCCCCTGAAAACAGAAGGCTATCCGGTGGCAGTAGCTGAAAGCAGAAAGTGGCAAGCAGAAGCAGCATGCAGCATGCACTAGCTACAAGCACTACTACTCCAACACTGCTGCACTGACGCATCACACGCCCTGTGTGCACTGCACACACACACACACACACACACACACATATATATATATATAAATAATATATATAGATATATTGATAAATGATTGGTGGTTTTTCAGGTGCTATGGAGAGTGCATTTTTATTCACAAAAAAATGGTATTGGGGCAAGAACAGAAACATTCCACATTTTAGACCCATAGATTTCTGAATCTATGGGTCTTTTTTGGGTGAGAGGGTGACCTAAAATCTCATGTGAGTCCTCGGTCAGGAAAAACAATGCCCATTTGTCAGCAAGTATACAGAACTTTCACTTCAGTTTTTGTAACTCAGTGTAGCTCAGCTTGTGAAAAAGGTCCCCATGTAAGTTACTCAATCACATGTTGTTTTGTGGTTAGTTAGGTTGATTTTCCAGTTTGATGAGTTGCGGTGCAAAACTGGGCTGGCATCATTTAAGACATTTACTGTAACTGCTTTAGGACTCATTCCATCTCCATGCCAGTAAAACAACACTGAATGCAAAATGCGGTATAATCTTGTGATACACCTGGCCATGTTGCATATTTTGTTTGAAACAGGTAAGCTATAATCTGACTTTAATAAATTGATGAAATAGTTCTATAAATTTATTTTTACAAAAAATGCAATTTCAAGCCTTTACTCTGAAATTTCTCGTTTAGAAATATGTTTTTGCAAAGTTAAACAGACTGTATCAGAACATTATTATTATTATTATTACTGTATTAGTATTATTATTATTATTATTAAACTGTCAAAATGTTTGTTGGCTGCTTGTTTTTTAGTTCATGGACACTATGGATTCGCCCTAAATCTCTGCCGTGTACTTGGTTCTCTACAAAATGTTGAGCTCATCTACTCAATATATTTCGACAAAACTGAATTGCTGAGATTTAACAGTACTGAAAATAAATTTGTTGCATACACTGAATATGCGATGAAATGGGCGGATGATTTTAATAAAAAACCTGAGTGGCTACATAATGAGGCAGAGAAAGCCATTGCCGAATGCAAGCTCTTTGGGCAATTACTCACTATGTTAGAAAAAACAGGTGAGATACATTGAACACTAAAAACGTTTTGAAACCACACATGAATCACGACAGAAAATTAACCTCATCATGTCTACAGTAAAACCAGAAGTCATCGTCAGGTCAGTAAGGCAGGCCAGTGGTAAAAGTCCAGCCATGTTGATCTGCAGTGCCTATGACTTCTACCCCAAACCCATCAAACTGACGTGGATGAGGGATGATAAAGCGGTGGCAGCTGATGTGACCTCTACTGAGGAGCTGGCTGATGGAGACTGGTACTACCAGATTCACTCCCACCTGGAATACTTTCCCAAACCTGGAGAGAAGATCTCCTGTGTGGTGGAGCACGCCAGCTCTCATAGACCCATGGTCTATCACTGGGGTAAGATACAATGAAACTGATGACCACAAAAACCAAACTGTAGTTTCTACTATGTCTACTTTGCTTCGTAGCCTAAACAATTTAACCAACCACAGAGGACTTTTGTTCAGACCAGCATCATTATTATTATAGTTCAGTGGTTCTCAGGTTGTTGTTTTTTAATGCCTCTCAAATGAAAGTCATTTGAACTTATCTTAGTAGGATTCCTAAAATCAGATAATGATAAAACAATATAAAATATAATAAAACATTTAAGTAATTCCTATTTTATTTTAAAAAAGGTGAAACTCTCAAGTGACTCTGGTTACTATTGCAATTGTATCTCAATTGACAGAATAGTGTGCGTTGCATAACAAACCATAGAATATTTCAGCACAATTTTATTTTATTTAGCAGATTCATCTCTGTCAGAGTCTGACAGGAATAAGATGATAACTGGAGCTGCAGGGGTGGTTTTGGGGGTGATCATGGCAGCAGGAGGGCTAATCTACTACAAAAGAAAACACACAGGTTGGTGTGCAGACACATTCGTATTCACATTTTTTCAAAACAAAATTGCAATAAGGCATTATAAATATCATGGTTTCTCCATTTTAATTACGTAATAAAAAAAATACTAACGATTTCATGTTCATGTCCCTTCATTTACTAGCACACGTCATATCAGATGGAAGTCAATACATTAGATGCTCTGAACCTCTGCAGGACTCAGTGGCACATCAGAGTGAACATTGAGTAACAGTGTATCAGCTTATTAAAGACATTGAAACCTTCCATAAGATCTTCAGAGGCACCAAACACAACCAGTTCAACGGCAATGCCCATTTACACAACTGCTTTATTGATTGATCATAAGAGAGATACGTTCTCATGTGGTTTGCTCTATAATTGCACTTTTTGTTTTTGCAAAGGTTAATTCAAATGCATCCATGCATGTTGATTCATCGTCTACAACCTATAGTGTATGATATCTCAGTGAAGATACATTGACAAATACTTTATGGATGATAAATACAGTGGCTCTATTCTAAATCTTTTTTAAGGTGCACCACCAATGACAGCTGAAGAAATAATAGAGAAATAATAACTCCTATTGATTTTCATATAGATAAATTATAAATACATATTATGAATTTTGTAATATTTGCAACGTTTTACCAGCAAGATGACGACAATGGTAATGGATTTTGGTTTCTTTTGAATTTATAAACATTACAATAAATAGAAATTAGATATATGACAGTGAAATTTTTATTTATCAAGTAATGCAGTTTTTGTAATGCCATCAACTGTTAGTATTTTGAGAGTCATTACTCTATGATTGACTGTGTTCATGTTGGATTGAAAACGAATTGCTAGTGTTTTGACTGAATGAATCGATTTTGAAACAGGTTTGCAGTGTTTTGATAGAGTTAGTCTGTATTGAAAAAATTATTATTATTTTTTTCATTTTGAAATTTAGAGTTTGTATTTATTTAACCCTCTACCGCACGCATTATGATAGACCTATAGAAAAAAATATTTGACTCTTTTTATTTTCTTAGAATGGCTTAACTTGCTGTAATGCTGTAAAAAGAAGGTCCTTTTTAAGGTCCTTTATGATATGTTGCCATACGGCAACAACATACAACAGTGGATTTTTTGTTTTAGAAAAAAAAAGCCATTTAAATTAGATTTTTTTTCCATAATATCCTACAAATGCATTGGCAGTATGACAAGCCGTTTTAACTTTTATTCTTTTGATACTAATTCTTAATATCAACAATTACATTTTTACTAGTTAAAATGAGGTATTGATATCAGGAATTAGATTTCTACTATAACAATGGCCATTTTTGGTATCAATAATTTAATTTTCACTAGTGATAATGTTAATTTCTGATATCATGAATGTAATTGTTACTAGTAAGAATTTTAGACATTTTAAATATTTATATCAGATTTTCAGATATCAAAAAAAAAATGTTTTTTACTGGTACGCAATTCAATTGAGACATTTCAACTAGTGACATTTGAATTATTGATATCAGGAATTCACATATTTACTAACAAAGAAATGATTTATATCAAAATTATATTTCTATATCAACAATTGATTTTGAATGGCAGCCTATGATGACATTTAACTAGTGAAAATACAATTATAGATATCAAGAATTCATATCCTGGAAATGAATAAAAGTTCAAACAGCTTTCCATATTGGCAGTCCTTAACCTATGACTAATCAACATTATAATTTATATCACTAGCATTAATGTTGTTGCAGCTGACCTGTCTAGCTAGCTAAACTTTTACATTTGATCGATTTACCAAAAACTGATTTCATAAAAACTTCTCTTTTTTTGTGAATATGTCATCATAACCTAACTGAGGTGATGTTTTGATGTTTTGTGTATGTGATATGGGAGGGTCCTTGTTTGTTACTGACGTTTCAGATTGCTTTCAGCAACTACCGACAAGAGACGACAGTCTGTCAAAAATCGCGCCACAGAAAAAAAATTACATGTCATGTGACTTAACCAAAGCAGATCATTGGCTAAACTAAGGTCTTCTCATTCCAACAAAAAATACGAGAATGTTTTCTTAAAGAAACATTGGCAATGAAATGAACACAAAGAGTATGTTGCCATATGGCAACACCATGCGGTGGTAGAGGGTTAAGAAAATGTGGTTTTGGGCAGAAAATTAACTATTTGGGTAATTGTGTGATAGGTGTATTGCTGTGTTGCCTCACATGCGGAACACACTGGGGAGAGTTACGGCTGAGATTAGCTCACAAGAGTTCAGAAAATGTAAGAATTGGCAAACGCTTCTTAACAATTGAAAAAAACTGTAAGACTATAGACACAATAGAATGGCCGAGTTTGAAGCATGAGGAAGTTTGGAAGAATAAATTCCTGATCTCTGTAATGCATACAGAAGTATATTCTTTTCACAAAAACAAAAATCAAAAACGAGGAAGTAAAAAATCAAATATAAAGAAGCACAGAAAAGCAATGGTAGCCTACAGTTGGATCATATCTTATAGGGGGGATTCAGGGTGATTGGGACACTTTTTGCCGTTGAGATGACTTGGAAAAAGTGTCACAACCAACCTGAACTCACCATAAATATTATACAAAGTCAATAAAACTTTTTGGAAATATAAATACAATAAATCTATTTGGAAATATTATTTGGAGGAATACAAAACTAAGCCTCCAGAACTGACTTCTGATACTAACCTGCCAAACCTTCTTACCACTGTGGTGATCAGTTGTTATTTCTATTATTGTTCTGTGGCAGCAATATAAAAGATACAGATGACGAGGTCGAACAATAGAAGGGGAGTGCTTAGGGAATAAAGGCTACATGCCAGTTATTTTATTTTCAGTGTTAATAATAAAGGAACACAACACACAGCATCTGAGAAGAGTCACATTATGTTGGCCACAAACATGAAGATTTTAAGCCTGATTTTGTAGCAACCGACTTTTTGTCCATATCACATGCCTATAGGCTAAGTATTATGTAAAGTCAGTAAATACATTAAATATATTTATAGTTATGTGACAAATATTGTGCAATCACTAGAATGTGACAATAATTTTTGGCCTGTGATAGAAGCTGACAGATTAAATCTACCGTCAAAAACTATAACTTTCTTTCACCCTATGTATGGCTTTCACCGGAAAAGAGTTTACCCTACTTCAGTCTCGGCGGCCATTTTTGTGAAATAGGCCTATTATTAGCCTGTTAAACTATTCTGTTGGAAATGCTTAACTTAGTAGCAATACCAATAGGCTACTAGATGTTTTAAAATGTAAACAAAAAATGTAATTGCAGAATTTTCAGATCTTAGAATTGTATTTAATTTTTCCCACCAGAGTCTGTCAAATGACCATTATTGATGTGTTTTATAGAAACAAAAATCTATCATTAAGTTGACCAGTAGAGGGCGCCAAGAACCCGAATTTTGTGAGGGCACTCATCATGCTGCATGTAATATGTATCTTCAACACATTGAGAAACTAGGGTTATTTATAAATATAAACCATTTAATAATATTTGCCAATGTTTTTATTTTTTAATAAAAAATAATTAAAAAAATCTTCCATTTTCAAGATTTTATTAAAACCATATTTGACTCAGCAATTACAGCTATGCTATGCTATGAAATGAAGTTGATTCATATATGAATAGCATCAACCACATAGCATATAACCATATAACCAGCATATAACCATATAGCAACAACCACGACAAACAATTCTACTACTAATCTGACATCGATATCTCATCAATATGACCATGAAAGGACAACTGTATGAAAATATATGTTCATTGTTTTAATGAGCAAAATATGTGAGACAAGCAGAGGGCTGTGATGAGTAAATGTATGGATGTTTTTTTCAATTGCATTACATTTTTGGCCCAGTGGAATTTCAGAAAATAAATTCTTCTAAAATGTCCTTTTCATATTTTCACTAGTTTATTTATCCTGTTTTCAAACAACAGAAGGATATCAGACATTTATTAAAATTATTTCTCATGCATGATGCAGATGTAGATCATTTATAGAAACAGGAATAGTGTGTATTTGAGCTAAAGCAGATTTTGCAATGCAAATTTACATGTCATCTTTACATGACAAAATAACTAACAACAGTGTCACTGTTGCTGTATCAGTATAACTATATCCATTTTTTCTCTTTGGCGATAAAAAAGACTCCAGTGACCAAACCCAGCAGCCCAAGAGCCAGACCAACTCCACAGAACACTGATGGGCCGATGCTGGGCTCCGTTATATCTGCACAGACACAAACATTTGTGACATTCATCATGTGATTCTAAAAGGATATTTCTGAATAATAAATAAATATCTACCCCATGTTCTGGTTTGAGGTTGTGGAAGGGCTTTGTGCTCCACAGAACAGCTGTAAATGTCTCCTTCCTCTGGAATGAAGCTCAGTCGAGAAAATACATTAAGTGTCCCATCTTTGTTGGGATAGTATCTGCTGACAGTTGATCCATCTGTCACATTCACATTGTTCTTGGTCCATGAAACTTTGACAGGTGGAGGGAAGAATCCAGAAACCAGACAAATAAGGGTATTATTGACATTTAATTTCACTTCGTTCCTGGGGTAAATTGAGGTATATGGGGATTCTGAAAGATATTTGGATTGTATCACTGTTTTGTTCAATAACCATATTTAATCCTAATTCTCTAACTGTATGGAGTAAAAAAAAAAAACCTTACCAAGAGGAGGTTCAGATATATTAAGAGAGAGCGTCCTGGAATAAGCATCTTTGCACAACAATCTAACATCAATGGGGTTGAAATTGATGTCTAAGGGTAATGTATCAAAGCCAGCAATACCATATACAACATCAGGTACCAAGAGAACTATTTTTGCATCTTCTAAATCCATATATGCAGCCACTTCAGTATCATAAGTGAAGAGAATTTCATTACTTCCAGCTGATCCACTGCATGATTCAATCAAGCCATATTCATGATAACCTAAAGATTTCAGAATTTAAAAGATTTGTTACATATCACCTAGAAAATATTAGTAGCTTGACCCAAATTCTTTAATTTATCCCGAAATAATAACAATTATATATATATATACATATGAAGATATATGCACTGCAAGTGAAATTAAAATTGTGCATTTATTTCTGCAATAAACATAATAAAACAACAACTCAAGCTTTAGCAGTATTACAATGGAATATCATACAATATTGTGAATGGAGTATTTTGGACTCTTCGTTCATATAGAAGGATTATCATATATTGATTCGATATATCAGCAAAAATTATCATTAATGAATCACATTTTAAATCACATTGTTAATTCAAAGTTTTAGAATTTGTCCTAAAGCTTTTACTTACTTTGACCTTCAGTATATGGCAAACAGGCAATGAAAAGTGCTCCGTAAAATGACACAAGCATGTTTGTTCACAGAAGTGAGTCGGTTTTGGATCCTTACAGCTATGGTGCTGCGGTCAGTCATGAACTTGATATTCTGGTATTGATATGATCTTGGCTCAAGTTAACCACTCAACCACCAGAGGTCACCATCACCAGAATTTTGACTGTCTCACTCATTATGACATTCATTCAGTCAGTCTTGGGTCTGTTTGCCACAGTGGAACTGGATTTAGGGCTGTAAGTTACTTTAATAGTTATATACCTGGAGAAAGCTATTTATTAGCGTTTCCATTTATCTCATTGATGGTTGCTGGATTGGAGCAAAGCTTCCCGTTCGTACTTTGACTTCTGCTTGTTATAGCCTATGGATTTGGAGAGTTTTGGAGATCTCTACACATGCATGATAACCACTTGTCTTAACCTGCTTACAGTCACAGTATGATGTCCTTCAATAAAAAAATCCTTTGTGAACTTTTTAAAACCAGACTTACTTTTTGCATACTGTGAAGAATAGTCATGTGGTAGTGTGTGTCCATAGCAAAAGAAAAGAAATGATCAAATCTGATAAAACAGCATTAATCAATACTTTAACAACATTAGTCAAAGCACAATAAATGAACAACTACTACTTATTTTGACCTGATCTAAATATGTAGATTATGCAATGGAAGAAAATTCTGATTGGTAACTTTGTGGAAAAACACAAAGATGTCTTACCAAGAGTTTCAGATACATTAAAGTGGAGAATTATGAAATAAGAATCTTTGCAAAAAGGTGTTAATCCAAATCAGTGGGGTTAACATTTTGCAAGAGAAATCTAAGCTAAATATACAGTGTAATATGAGAACTAGTTTCGCCTCTTTATAGATCAATGCAAAACACACTGTATTCAAAGACAAGTACACACAGCGGCATGACTTCAAAAATGCAGTACAACCTTGTGGTACATTTGACCGTGTTTTTGTCTGCTTTATTTGAAACAGGTAAGATTAAATGTTATTATTTGTATTATTTACAAAATGCTTTTGTGTTGATTTATTATTAATTTACCAAATTTCTCCTAAGTTCTCAAAATGAAATATTGCAGCATTTTTTTGTCTAAAATCACCATCAATAATCATCTTGCGTTAACACAACTAAACAAATGTCAAATTTAATATTTATGTCAATCCTGATTAAAACTATTGCAATATTCAAAGGCTTGACAAAAATCCCACTTCTGATTCATTAATACTCTTTCTGACAACATTGTTTTTAATTTCTTTTTTTTTATGAAAATTGAAACATTGTGCCCTATTTTCATACAGTTTGGTTATTTTTATTAGCTAATCTTTGTATTTTATGTCTGTTATTTTCTCTCCTTTTTTTTCTTTTCTGTTTCAGTTCATGTACATTATGGATATGTCCAAATTCTCTGTCGAACTGACTCTCAACAAAACATCGAATTTATCTTCTCGGTCACCTACAACATGATAGAATATCTGAGATACAACAGCACTGAGGATATAGTTATTGGTTACACTGAATTTGGAAAGAAATGGGCAGAGGACTACAATAAAAACAAGGTTTTACTTGCACAAGCAGAATTTGCTCTGAACCAATGCAAAGAAATTGGAAAGTTAATTGTCCCTAATGCAGGGATGACAGGTGAAAGACATTTTCTTTTTATTCAGAACACAAACTTAAATTAAAGATGTAAGATATTATTTTGTTATTGGTTTTTTAAAACCTTATATTTTGGTATTTGACATAATCATGTCCAACTCGGTCCGATTTTACAGTACAACCAGAAGTCATTATCCGGTCAGACAAGGAAGCTATTGGGAATCAGAAAGCTGTTCTGGTGTGCAGTGCCTATGACTTCTACCCCAAACCCATCAAACTGACGTGGATGAGGGATGATAAAGCGGTGGCAGCTGATGTGACCTCCACTGAGGAGTTGGCTGATGGAGACTGGTACTACCAGATTCACTCCCACCTGGAATACTTTCCCAAACCTGGAGAGAAGATCTCCTGTGTGGTGGAGCACGCCAGCTCTCATAGACCCATGGTCTATCACTGGGGTAAGAACAGAGTTATGATTCATTTAGTGTTAAGAATCAGATTGTTGCCTCACTGGACAATTTGAACTGAATTTTCTTTCACTTTACAGATCCTTCTCTTTCCGAGTCTGAGAGGTCTAAGATAATTCTTGGGTCTGTGGGGCTGGTGATGGGGGTCGTGATGGCTGCCGGAGGACTGATCTACCATAAAAGAAAACACACAGGTTGGTATTCATAATGAAGACCAATTTGGTGGTGGGCTGGTGGTGTGATGAAAAATCATCTTCCCTGTCATTATCAATTGAGATGTTGGGAATGTGTCATTTTGTGGATGTCTACAGGCTTTTACAGACTTCCAGTTTGTTTACTTCCACTGCAAACAATGGACGGCACTGAACAACAGCCGTAACATCTGGGACTGCATCATCATTCCATACGACTCGAGAGAAACATCAATTGAAGACTGTATGACAAGAATCAGGCATCAGTCATCTAAGCCTCAACTCCTGATTGCCCATTAAATCTCATTTAATAAGCAGTCAATTAAAAAGGCAATTAACTCTTTATAGTCACTGTCACCTCTGTTATGGCCATTGATTTTCTGCTTGCATCTTCAGAGCCCCTAAAAGAGCCCCATTTGCTCCAGAGACTTTTGTTTACGCAAGAAAACTTTTGCACAAAAAACAAACAAACATTTGTGTGCATGAAAAACTTGCAAGAATGAGCCAGAAAAATGGTCTATACATTTTTATAAAATTACATGCAGTTGCATGTAGTATGTTTTGCAATTTATTTCATCTGATTAAATCAGTAAACTGTTGTTACAATTGGTGAGGTGGATTTCTCAATATTTTAAAGACCATCAGATTTTTGAGACCATCTTGCCATTGAGCTATGATGTCAAAGGCAGGTAAAAATATTCAACGCTATCTCACGACCAATTCGTACAAATTCATACGAGTGAGTAAAATGTGACTGATTCGTATAAATTCGTACGACCTCACTCGTATGAATTCGTACGATTTGTCTAAACCCCATTGATGTTTAGGTTTAGGGGCGGGGTCAGGGGTAGGTCATTTGTAAAAATTCATACGACATTGGGCATTGGGCAACTCGTAAAATATATACGATTTAGCCAAAAATTTCTCGGGTAATTTCAACGCAGCTTATTTCTAGGTTTTAAGCCGCGTTTTCACCGAAATTACCCGTTGCTTTCTTCGTCAACTTATTCAACCAATCAAAATGCAGCATGAACTCAACCAATAAGCATGTTTAGTGCCCATGTCCCACCCCTGAAAGTTCCTGAACTTTGAAAAAGTACTACCTCGCCAGCAGGGACTTTCTGAGGGGGAAATTTTTACCCGGAACTTCATTTAGACCCTGGTTCCTGTGGTCAAAAGAAAACACACAGAGCCACCCCAAAGTTCCTAGTTCCTGGGGAAAGTTCCTCCGGTGGAAACACGGCTTAGTCTCTTTTATTTTGTCAATACAAATTTGTTTGCAAGAAAAGGTTATGCTTCATTTGAATAAAGATGAAGCTAATGCAAACAGATTATTGCTCTATTACATTATTAGTTTGTAGATGTTTTGTGATAATGAAGATATAGTTTTGTTGAGTCTGTTACCTTGAAACCAGACTTTTTGATACTTTTTGCATCTTGTAGTAGAGTGTATAAATGTATCCACATCTATCTAAAACATTATTAATCAATACATTTCAATAACATTAGTTTTAAAGCACAATAAATGAACAACTTCTGAAAGATGAGTAATAAAATATATTTTTACTTTATCTAAATGTCAATTCGAGGAAGATACAGTGTTTCTGACATAGATTTTGCAATGCAAATTTGCCTTGGATCTGTGCAAATCAACACAACTACAAATATGGCATTGTTAGTGTGTCAGTGTAACACTGATGGACCGATGCTGGACTCCTCTATCTCTACATCTGCACAGACACATACATTTATGTTTCATCATGTTTTTAGAAGGAATTAGATGGGTGGCAGTGGCTCAGTGGTTCATGTAGGTTGTCTACAAACCAGAAGGTTGGTGGTTCAATCCCCGGTTCCACCTGACCAAGTGTCAAGGTGTCCGTGAGCAAGACACCTGACCCCAGCTGCTCCTGACGAGCTGGATGGCGCCTTGCATGGCTGACACCGCCGTCGGTGTATGAATGAGTGAATGTGAGGCAAATTGTAAAGCGCTTTGGTGGCCATTGGGTCTGTGAAAGCGCTATATAAACACAGTCCATTTACCTATAATATTAGATATTATTTTTATTTAGTATGACTTAAAAGTAATTTGTTCATTCAAATTGGCTTTAAATAATGTCACTCAATAACTATAGACAACTAATAGCCACCACGACAGCCACGACAGTCAAAAAATTATTTTGCTATATATTTTTTCCCCATGGCAGAGCACATAGGTGAAAGGCAATTACCTGTTCATTAGACATTAATATACTGTAATGAAACATTTATCATTTTACATGTATATTTTGAGAATATGTGATGCATGTTTGACACATGAATGATATCTAATATTCCCCATCATCCATAGTAATGCCATATATCAGTCTGCTCATCTGGGTAGTGAAAAGGACATTAGAGGACTTCAGTATGTTGCTAGGGCAATTGTTTTGTACATTGTTATAGACAGTGTATAATTATAATAGTATATATATATTGTTTATAATATTTCATATAAACATTATGTGAATGTAACTTTTATTTATATTTTTTCCCCCTTTTCAACCTATACTGCTCGTCTGACATGTAAACTTTACAGTCTATGGATGTAACACATTGACCTGGTTTCACAGAGAGGGCTTAGGCCAGGATTAGACCTTAGTTCAATTAGAATATTTAAGTAGCTTTTATAAACGTGCCTTAGAAAAAAAAACATTACTGGTGTGCATCTTGAGACAAAACAATGGCACTGATATATTTAAGATATGCCAGTGCAAGTCACTTAGTTAAAACATCTCAAACATGCATTTTAGTCTGGGACTAGACTTAAGCCTTGTCTGTGTCTTGTCTTGTCTCCCAGGGATTGTCACACATTTTAAGATTAATTTTAAGCCTGAGTTTCCAGGGGTCTCCACAAGGTGGACATTAAGCTTGAGACTGTGAGATATCAGCATTAAGAGAATGATGCCTAAAACTGTTAAAGATCTTCAGACAAACTGACTCTTGTTTATACAGTCAAATGAACAATGACAATCAAACATTTAGTGACACATTAAATATTATAGCTCATTATGTTTTGCTGTAATAAGTTATTGGTCACATTTGCAAATCTTTGGAGTTGGTAAGATAAGAAGTAAGGTAAGAAGTTTTTTAAGAAGTCTCTTATGCTCACCAAGCTGCATTTATTTGATTACAAATATAATAAAAACAGGAATATTGGGAAATATGGAAATATTATTACAAATTAAAATAACTGTTTTCATATTTTAAAATGTAATTTATTCCTGTGATGTCAAAGCTGAATTTTCAGCATCATTACTCTCCAGTATTCAGAGTCACATGATCCTTCAGAACTCAGTCTAATATACTAATTTGGTGTTCAAGAAACATTTCTTCTTATTATTAATGTTGAGAGTACATCCTTGCTAAATAAAAGTATTAATTTATTTTTCTTTTCGTTTCGTTTCCTTTTTGTTACTGACCCCAAACTTTTGAACAGTATAGTGTGTCTCAACGAATATGATTAGTATCTTGAATGCAGACGTTTTTAATTGTATTACTAACAAAATAATGATCGTTGTAAACTTGTTTTATCTGAATTAAGATACACAAGTGGGTGATGAGAATTTGACATGACAATGACTAGATAATACGTTAAGTTACAGCCAGTTTAAAGCATAAATAATGTGCCCCATATGTTGAAATTCTACAAATAAATATCCTAATATGAACACCGATGTATAGACTTTTCTCTTCGATTTTATATATTGGACAAAAAAAAAAACACACACTAAAATGAAATTATTTTCATCCGCATTCCTTAGTGAATTCCATAAGCAGTAACGATTAATATTTGTCAGTGGCGGGCCCCAAGAGCCAAACTTCAGTTTGAACGATAATATTATCCAATTCAACTGAGAATTATGTTAATCACAACTATTTTTTGATTAGACCATCATTTACTGAATCAAGAATACTGCACTGTATTGTAGTACAAATCTAGGGTGCCTAAAATCTTTTGAAAGGCAGAAAAAAATGTATGACATATGCTTATCATAAGTTTGTGTCTTTCGCTCCTTCTGTCCATCAAAAGTTTTCTCCCACAGCTCTGGGACTGGTGGCATTGGCCTTTGATTTTAATACTGAGAGCATAATTTATGTAAGATGTTTGAATAGCTTTTTGAGTGCGGCTAGATTAAAGAGAGTTCCATGTAATGGAACAAAAAAGGCATCTGCAGATTTTATTTAAATATATTTCAAACCTCCAATGAGTTTGATAGAGTTGACAAAAGCAGAAAGAGAGAGAGGAAGAGTTTTGGAGAACACTATTAATACATTGTATGTGTGTGTTTTCAGCGAATGCTTGCTTTGTTTTTAATACTTTCAATTCAATTCACACATTTATTTCAACGCATTCTCACCCCAAGGCGTCACTAAAATGACAATTTTGACCATGCTTCAACATTCGACGCTTTAGGCACCCTTTAGCGTCAGTTACATGACGCGATCCTAGGGCGTCATCTTACTGACGCTTTACCTAAGCGTCAGTTAGATGACGCGGGTAGGTTTAGGTCTGGGGTAGGGTTAGGATTAGATAGCGTCATCTAACTGACGTTAAAGGTAAAGCGTCAGTAAGATGACGCCCTAGGATCGCGTCATGTAACTGACGCTAAAGGGTGCCTAAAGCGTCGAATATTGAAGCATGGTCAAAATGATTCCCAAGGCGTCAGTTTCATGACGCCTAGGGATAGCACACACATATCGTTTCAAAGCAGCGTTACAGAAAATGCATGTGTCTACATTACAATTTAGAGTGATTTGTTATCAGAGGTGACTTCGTCCAAGTTATGTATTTCAGAAATGTACATATACAAATCCAATATTGCACTATCCATCCATCCATCCATCCGTTCAACCTTAAATGGTGTTATTCCTTTTGAGTTAGCATGAAAGGACTAGTCACATCTATCTTTATTCTGTGCAGCAGATCAGTTTAGTTTTTGTTGATTCACAACCAGAGGCCATTGTTAGCAGTCAATATTTGTCAGTGAGTCTTCAAGTTGCGCAACTTCTTTATTATCCCCATGCTGATGCAACAAGATCTGTTTGCTCTCTATATACGAGGGTTTACAACATAGTTTGAAACAAATCTTTACTCATATTTCTAAGTTTAAGACTTTGAAGATAAATATTGGCAATCTGTCCTTTACAATTCAGCCTTGTGTTTGCTCAGTTGTCTCTTAGAAAAGTAAAACGACGGTAAACATGGTAACGTAGACAGCCGGTAATCCTCTGTAGGACACCATGTGGTGTAAAAATGCAACCCCTGCCCTCTGTGCGTGAATGTGGGAGTCTGTCTGTTGTAGT